CTAGTAAGCTACCTACAGGAATCTAGTAGCTATTTAGCGCTAGTTTAACTTAGTTTAAGTAATAAGGTAGAAGTAGGGTATTATAAACAGTAATATCTATAACTTTAATAAGACTAGCTTTATAATAGGCAAGATTTCATTATAGTTAAGTATTATAGCATGAAAAAGATATAGAAAAAAGAAGTAAATATAGCTAAGTAACTATAAGTAGGTTACTATAATCTAAGGCGTAGGCGCGTTAGGTTACTAAATACTACTCTTTATTATCTTTATAAGTAAGGTGCTTGTTAAAGTCTAGTTTAAAAATTTGCTTACTAGCTAGGTTCTTAAAGTTAGTCTTAATAGCTAGATAAATAATTAGCTTAGTTTTGCTTCCTTAGAGCACTTTAATACTTATATAATGAGCTCTACTATAAGTAGGTATCAACTACTTTTTATTAATAGCTATAAGAGCTACTACTCTCTTAATTTCTAAGATCTTTATAAGAAGAAGAATATTATACTTCTCTATCTACTTACGCACTTGTCTTAAACATTATAGCCTCTTAACGTTTCCTACTTTTTGCTATTAAAGCGTAAGTATAGTAACGCTATTTTAGGCTTAGCATATAACTACACCTACTATATTAGTAAAGAGACCTTCCTACTAGCTTTTAAGACTGCTTTTAAGTAGTCTATTACAAAGGAGAATATCTAAGCTAGCTTTAGAGGCGCTAGTCTAGTCCTACATAACTTATAGGCTATGCTATTTAAGCTTAATATAGTAGTGTAGACACTTGTATAATTACTATAATAAGTAGCCGCCTAGTAGGCGTAAACATTACGTAACGCGCGCAAAGTTAAGTCTTAAATTAGTCTTATTTAAAAGAGCGTAAGAAAATGCTATAAGTCTTCTACTAAGTTACTTAATAAGTAGATTGCATAGCTAAGTAAGAGGGCCTAGCAAATAGTATATAAAATAACGCTTATAATAGAGGCAATAAGTACGCTTTAAGTAGCTTTTAATAAGTTAAATAAGTATAAAAGCTATAAGTAGCAATATGTACAAATAGAAGAGACTCTTACTATAGGCAAAGTATAAGAAGTATTAGCTAAATAAGTAGGTAGTAGTTATAGTAATAGTAAGAGTGCGTTAAAGAGGGTGTAAAGAGAGCAATAGTGCAGGCGTTATAAGTAGACTAGATCTAACGCTTATACTTAAGTAGTTAAGATAGATAGTATAAGTAATAGTAGTAATTATAATAATGAATTTAGTATATTATAATAGTTTATTAACTATAATAAAAAAGTATAAGAACGTGTTAATGTGGATGTAGTAGTAGGGCGTTAGCAGCTTGCTTAGGTTAGTGACTTACTTGTGAGCCACGTTAATAAAAATCTATAATATTATAAAAGTTAAATAAAGTAGTAGTAGTTATAGTAGTTGTAGTAGTCGTAGTAGTAGCAGTAGTAGTAGCAGTAGTAGTAGTAGTGGTGATAGTAGAAGTAGTAGGAGTAGTAGTAGTTGTAGTAGTAGTTGTAGTAGTAGTAGTAGTAGTAGTAGTAGTAGTAGTAGTAGTAGTAGTAGTAGTAGAGTAGTAGTAGAGTAGTACGCAGGTAGTTTTATTTAAGGTAAAGGTAGAATGCTATTTTTAGTAGAAGCGTTACGCTATAGGCGCTAGCGCGGCGCTAGCGCCCTATAAGCCTAGCTACTACTTACGTCATATCTTATAACGCGTATATCTTTATTAATAAAAGTTAGAAACTTATTATATAGGTATTAGAAGAAAGCTTATACGCTCTACTCTATAGCTATAGAGTATTATAGTTTTTTATTATAAAGATATTAAGATGTCTATAGAGTAATTAGGCTACACTAGCACTACGCTAGCCTAAGAAGGCTACCTAGCAAGCAAATAACTAATTACTTCTAGAATCGCCTATATAAAACTACTATTACTACTTTTACTACTACTACTACTACTACTACTACTACTACTACTACTACTACTACTACTACTGCTACTACTACTACTGCTACTACTACTACTACTACTACTACTACTACTACTACTACTACTACTACTGCTACTGCTACTATACTTATAGTTCTTTATTATATACTATAGCCCACACTTAGTGAATAGCAAAAAGGTTTACTAGAGGTAAATAGCCGCGTAAGAATTTAGCGGGAAAGGTAGCGCGTAAGAGTGCTACTAAGACTACTTATACTACTAAAAAGCGCTTATTTAAGCCCAGTAGTAAGTTTATTATAGGCTTTTATTACGTATAATAAATAATTACTTATAGCTATTACGCTTAAGACAATTAAAAGGCTATAAAAAGAGTAGGACCTATTAATTTCAAGAAAAAGATTTAAAAATCTTATTTATAAGATTACTTGAAATTAGTAGAGTAGTTTGTATTATTATGCTAGAGTAGATAGTTCTATAGAGTAGCGCTAGACCTATAATGCTCTTAAAGCCTTATAAAAGGCAGCTAAGGCCTACTTAATTACCTACTTTAAAGGTGTGTTTATTTATTACTAATAACTATTTATTATAGCTACCAACGTTATATACTACTTGCTGAACGCTATATATATAAAGAGGGTTTTAATTATATAGAAAGACTCTTAGCTATTTAAGCGCTATAGTAAGAAGTATTTTATATACGGCTAGTAGTAGTAATAAAGAAGTAGAATCTTAGTAGATTATACTGATATAATAGTACATAGAACTTCATTCTATAATAATAATATTAATATTAAAGCTTAGTATGGAGTAGTAGTAGGCGTAAGAGAACGTAATCAATATCTATAATAAAATAAGACCTTAACTTAGCATAACCTAATAGTCATATACTTAACTCTACTTTTACTTAGGTCTTAGCTAACTTAACTCTACCTCTACCTAAGTCTTAGCTAACTTAACTCTACTTCTACTTAGGTTTTAGTAACTCTACCTTTACTTATACTAAAGAACTTTAGCGTAAGTAAGAGTGGAGGTAGAGCTAGGTATTATATAAGCTAACTCTACCTCTACCCTACCCCTACCTATTCGCCAGTCTATGTATTATATAGTTATACTTATTTAAACTAATAAAATTAAGTAAAAAAAAGTTGTATTTATTTATCTTGTATATATATCGTTAAGAATAAGCGCATCTAGTAACTTTTAAAATTTTTAAGATAGCGTAAGTGGATAAAAAAAAAGTACGTGATATAGATTTCTATATTAATTCTTTACCTAGTAATATATTAGAGTATATTAATTTTTCTACTAATAAGTAGTAAGTTATTAGCATAAGTATTTAAGCTATTAAAATAATACGTATAGACTATTTTTAAGTCTATATATACTAAAAATAATAAAATTCTTATAATACTAAAACAATCTAGTAATTAAAACTTACTAAAACTAATACTTTCCCTACTTCAACTTCTTTAAAAGTAACCTAGTTTTTATATTAAAACTTAGTTCTTAATAGCAGTATACTATAAATTAGTTTTTAATATTCTATCATGTTATCTAGATAATAAAGAACTTAGCGCGCACTATCTATAGCGTATAGTTTAGACCTTATAATACTACCTAAATCTCTTTTAACCTTTTCTTTACCAACGCTGTATAGGTTACTCTTTAGTACTAAGTAAATATAAATTTCTCTTTAACTAGTAAGTAATTATCAGTAAAGCTCTTCTAATCTTTTTATAATTTAACTTTCTACTAACCCTTTAGTTATATAGAGTCTTCTATAAGCAACTAAAATTCTATTTTATAATTCATCTTTCATAATAATACACTCTACTATGATCTTAGTTTTACTACCTTTTTACTTAGGCGTAGTAAGCCTTATTATTTATAATATATTATAACTTAAATTACTAGCTTGCTATATTTATTATATTAATTATATATAATACTATAATCTTTAGCCTACTTATTAACTATATTGAAAGCTTTATTATAGCTATTATATAGAACTTCTAGTAGTAGTAAGTGCTTATAGTTAATAAATAAGGCCTTCTATAAACTATTAATATTATACTCTATAATACTATAAAGCTTACTATAATTGTATTAGCATAGCGTATGCTTAGTACTTTACTTATAGTATAAAGGCTTAAGCTATATAGCTTCATAAGCTATAGCTTTATAAGCTATAGCTTTATAAGCTATAACCTTATAGAAAGTAGCTTTATAGAGAGTAGCTTTATGAAGAGTAGCTTTATAGGCAAAAGCATTACTTAATAACTTTAGTTCTTACTTAGAATTAGTATAGCCCTCCTAAACTAACCTATTTTTATTAAACTTAAACTTAATTATATAGTAAATTAGCTACTAAGTAGTTTTACTGAATAAAATAGTATTATAGGTAGTAAGTAATACAATAAAAAGTAAAATTAATAGGATTTTTAGTATATTTCAATGATTTCTACGCGTTATATAGTATAAATTGAGATAGCTTAGAGGCTGCCTAGCTTACCTTAAACATAATACTAGCGCTCTATACTGGATAAATATTATTCAGCTACTTAGTAAGTTATGAAAAAAAAGCTAAGTTATTTAATTATAGTGCTAACTCTATAGAGTTTAGATGCTGCGCCCCTAATGCAGACCCTAGCTTCAAGGTGGGTGAGATAGCTATTGGTGGTGGGTTGTTTAACCATTGCCCATGCTAAGGGAGGGAGGGAGGTAAGATTTCGGCAGTGCCGTCAGCGCCAAACCATGGGACCCGCGAAAAAAAAACCACAAAAAGAGAAAGGGTTTACCGCTACCCTGGTGCTTGGTTGGTGTGTTACCGTGCCACACACACACACTCACACGCATGCGATCTTTCTTTCTCTCTTTCTCTTACTCTCTCTCCCACACACACACACACACACTCTCTCTCTCTCTCTCTCTCACCGCGCGCACGAGAGACATTCCAGAAACCTCGATGGCATCTTGTGTGTTTGAATCGCCGTCGCCCGTTGTTGTCGTTGTCGTTTATCGCGCCGTTGTCATCGTTGCTCTTCAATGGCAGCAGCTGGAACGGTGATTGCGCCGCCCTATGTCATTACCGCGACGGACAAGCGCGGGCTGATAGTCGTAACCGGAGTCTCCGTGCTGGCCTTTGTGTGGTCGTGCTCGCTGATCCGGCTGTGGCTGCGATGGCAATTGAAGCAGTGGAGATGGGATGGTGAGTTTTTTTCTTTTTTCTTTTTTCTTTTTATCTAATCTTTTCTTTCTTTTAATTGCTTCGCCTTGCTGAGCAAAATGTCGCGCATATCCAGACTGGTGGCTGTCAGCCGCAACGGTGCTCGACACGGTCCAGACAGGCCTTGTCTTGCACCTGGTCACGCTGGGCTTGGGCGCCTCCCAAGCCGACTTGTCGCTGGCCCAACGCGAGCGCCTGGGAAAAGTAAGTTTTTGAGCAATTCCAAAAATCAGATATTTATCAATCTGCTGTATACCGGTAAAGACATGATACCCACAAATTCCCTTCCTTTGGCGTGGGATCCGCACTAGGGTCTACTGATCGGATGCTTGGTTCCTAGGCCATGCATGGCCATACCTACTGTAACTCTTTTCCCCTCCAAAAAACGTCCAAGTACTTACTTTACATACGGGGAACAAACACATCTGACAATGTGTAGGAAGGCTTCGCAACACAAATCCTGTACATCTTCGTCCTCTTAACCTCGAAGCTGTCAGTGCTATTTCTGCACCTGCGCCTATCACCAGGAGGCTGGCACCGCCTCGCCATCTGGTTCATCCTCGTGGTATCCTGCATCTGGGCCGTCCTCTCCGTCGTGCTCGTGGCAGTCCCGTGTAATCCGCTCCAAGCCGTGACTCGGCCTCCGCATTGTAGTAACAGGGTTTGTATTCTCGATTCCTTGGGGTTTGCGCGTGGAGAAAAAAAAGAAAAGAAAAGTAGTAGTTATTTGTTGTTGTGAGGGGAGAAACCAAAGCTGACTTTTGTGTGTGTGTTTTTGCGCGCAGTGGCCCAAATGGCTGGCTATCAGCATCCTCGATATCGTCACCGAGTTTCTCATCTTCACCACGGCTATCCAGCTGGTACACTGCCTCAACATGCGGCGGTCGGCCAAGGTGCTGGTCATTGTTGCGTTTAGCGCGCGGCTGCCCGTCATTGTGCTGGCGAGCGTGCGCCTGCACTATCTGCACCAGCGCTTCCACGGCTCGTATACGTTTGAGTACCTCGTTGCCACGCAGTGGCAGATGGGCTATGCCATCATGAGCTGCACCATCACCGGCATGGGCCCGCTGCTACGCCCGTTTGAGAATGAATATGTGTCGAGCACCAAGGAACAGGGCCAGAGCAGTGACCAGCACGTCATGACACGGGACTCGGTCAGCTCCAGTGGCAGCTCGGTTCTGCCTCCTCGCCGCATGCCCAGGACCGCGCCAGATAATGTTTCCGAGTTTTACTTGATGGACAACTTGCCCCCGCGAAATACTACCAAGCGCACAAAGGCCCATCACCGCCGCTCTGCTTCTCTGGACCCAAGTCGATTGGCAACTTCGTCGTCTCCACCGCCAGCCACCATGACGGCAGATGAAAACTTCTGCCCTGCACACCTGTATCGCAGCCACGAAGCAGAGGTTTGGGTGGGAGAACGGTCTATGAGCTTTTGCCAGGACGAGTCACAGCCTGGCGCTGGGCCCAGTGGCAAAGGGGGAGCCAACTTGGTCATTGGCAAGAAGAGAGAGTTCAAGGTCGAGATTGATCGAGCCAGCCGCTATGCCGACAACGTGTTTGAAGCATGACTGCAACGCCCCCAAACGAATCATAACTACACTTGGCAGGCCATGCATGACGCCTGCTGCTCACAACCACAACCACAACCCCTATACATTGTAATGCCTAGTCTGGTTCCAAACAATCACAGCCTAGAACAAATTCCACTACACTTCACGCGAGCGCCATGTGCACGTCTTGGACAAAACTCCTTATTCCTATGCGCGACCCTATTATACAGCAAGCAAAACGAGCAATCCATGATTATAGTAGCGTCCCCCCTGCCCCGCTCGCCCAAATGGTCGCGTTGATATCATGGGTAACACTGCTTTTCCAATTGCTTCATGCCCTCTATAGCTCTGCCTCTGTCCGCACACAGTCAATGGAAAACGGACACGGTGGATGGCTATCGAGTGAGAAAATGGTCGAGGCAGCTGCCTCAAGTCGGGGAATAGATAAGGTGAAAGAAAATGGCGGCAAAGTGAAGTAGCCTATGCGGAGAAGCGGCGCATGACCTTGGCAATGACTGCTGACTGTCAGATATGGTCGTGGCAAAACATATACAAGACTGCGTACCGTGAAGAGCAACAACGCTGAAGATGAAGACAACAGACAGCGTCATGACCACGACAGGGTCGACCTTGAGTCCGGGCGACTCGTCAGTGTACAGCCTCAGCATAGTGCTTGAACTGCCACCGGCGCCTGCTGCCCTTGTGCTGCTGGGTCGCTGGTTGGCCGTCTTCTCGGCGCGGTCGGCGGCTGCCTTCCTTCGCATCACCGTCGCGGGACCACCGGGGGGCTTTGGCGAAGCAGGACGGGCCGTTGTCGAGGCTGAAGAGGCCCCGTTGGGCGAGTTGGCGCGTAGAGCAGACTGTGAGCCCGGTTAGCGAGCAGCTTTTGAGGGGGGGGGTTGCGCTGAGATTGGACGGATTGCGGCCATGTAAAAGGCCCTCCAGAAGCCACTGGTTGCGCACAAATAGCCATTGACGGGCAAAGGACCATCTATGGGTTGGCAGCAAAGGCGGACAGCACGACAGCACGACTGTCCGTCGCTTGCAACAGCCCCATGGACGTCTGGGTCTTGTCGCATGCTCCTGTGTTGCGAGCAACGCATGTGCCTTTCGTGTCCAATGGCTTCCGGTTGCGCTCGAGAACGGTGAAACTGACCATGATGGGTGACTTGGACGGTGACCGGTGCGAGATGAAGAAGAGGTGGGTGATGAGACGTGTCGTGAAAGCTGCTGGCAACGAGTCCCTCGACAGAAGCCAAAGGCCACGATTCTGGAGCTGGGGTTGCCGCGGCGCGCTAACCCTGATCTCGCTTCAAACTACGCTAGCAAGGGGTCACGTGCTAGTCTAATTCTCTCCTGCTCCTGCTCCTACCCGTAGCAGTCATGGCCCCCGAACAGGCCCTGGTCGGGAATACCAGCATTATCATCATTAATCTTCTAGCTTAAACGCTGCCCAAGCGGCCAAGTGCACTAGCAGCCCTGATCCAAACAAAAAAAAACACATGTCATCCCAAGCCACTTTTTTCCCATTAGACAGTTCCGTTAGATGTACCAGCCCTCATAGCATCCCAAGATCATCTGGGCAGTAACCATGCCCGTCGTCGGTTGGTGCAGATGCTCTTGACCCGCATCGAAAAGCTAGCGACCAATAACTGCAAAACATGCACAAGCAAACTCCTGCAAAGCCCCCCCCCCCTCCCTCCAATGACCCAACCCATGCCCCGCCCCTTGACCCTGCCGACAAAAACACCAGTGTACCCGCTCGCAAAAAGGTATCTAATTCTCAGCAAGACCCAGACCAAGCGGCCAGGCCATGCTGGTCGTGCACCTTGAAAGCACCGGAAAGATTCGCCCCAACCCACCCATTGAACTGCTCCGCCTATGGTAGTTGTTTAAAAAGACCGACACGGTATGCCTAGGACACCTGAAATGCAGTAACTCCGGATGTGCATCATATCTCGCCAAAACAAAACTCCGTTTTCTAGCCCCAGACCGACGCCTGCACGCCCTGCGTGGGGGTGTTGCTCCAGGGCCCATTGTTCCAAATACCAACGCCCTTGTCAGTAACGGTTGAAGAAGGATTCATTGAAGCAGAAGAGGCCGTGGCCATGTTGTTCTGCTCGCTCGCATTGTACGAGTTGTAGCCCAGCGGCGAGGGCAGCGGCGAGTTGGCACGCTTGCCCATGGCAGCACCGCCCGGCTGGTGCAGGTTCTGGTTCTGGGGCCGGGTGCCAATGGGGGCGACGCCCGATCCGTTGGACTTGTGTCCTGGGACGGGTGGAGAGCCACCAGGCGACGAGGTCGAGGTGCGGCTAGCCTGTTGGGCGTCGAACAGGTTAAAGGCCGGGGCCTGAGTCGTCGACGGCGAAGAGGTGCTATTGGCACGAGCATCCTGGGCGGTGCTAGCGGCATCCTTGTCCCGCGGGGGCATCTGGACGGCACCTTCGCCCGCTCCGCTCTGGGGCTGCATGCCAAAGGGGTCAAAGGCGAGGGGCGAGGGGCCGCGGCCGGCGCCCGACGTCTGAACGCGAACGTCCTGGCTCGAGGTGGGGTTGTTGTTGCTATTGTTGTTGCTGTACAGTGTGGAGGTTTCGCCATACAAAGCACGGTGCTGGCGGGCGATGAGTTCGCGGCGCTCGTCTTCATTCATGGCATTGGGGCTCATGGAGCGATCCGACTTGGAGCCTGAGCCCGAAACGTCTGTATTACCCTAAGTCAACCAGCTGTCCTTGCTTCTATTGTTGCCCAGATTCCGAGTCCTTACTTCTGTGGTATTGCTGCTCCTGGTGATAGTTGCGCAGCTCTCGCTCTCGCTGCGCAGCCATCCGTCGCTTTGCCTGTGCCATCTGGTCTGCATCGTTGGGTCTGGGCGCATAGCGCTGGTTCTGGTAGAAGCCCTGCACGTTGGAGGCCGAGTGTGAGCGGGAGCCGTCGTACTCGCTGATGGAGTGATGGCGCTGAGGGCCGCCCATGCGCTGCTGGTCTGGGTGGGGGGTGTCAGTGTGCATGGTTAGTCATGGAGCGTGGGTGAGTGCATACCGAAGTCGGGGTATGGGCGAGGGCCGCCGCCCATCATGGGCATGGACTCGCGGCGGGCAGCGGCCATGGGCGTAGGAGGGAATCCAGGGCCAAACGGCTTCCCGCTCTTGGCAAGGTTTTCGATGGCGCGGTCGACTTCTGTTGGTGGTGTTAGCGCAGGAAGTCCATGTGTGCGCAAGTGTTGTTGCGGAAGTGCGTTGCGGAAGTGCGTTGCGGAGGTGTGTTGACCAGGTGCCATGTTCTGTCACGACCAAGTCTGTCGCATCGGGTGTGCCGAACATGACACTAACAGATAGCCATGTGCCGCCGCGGAAAAAAAAAGACAGGGAGAAAGAAATAATAGAGACGGAGCGGACAACGTACCCTCAAGCTGGGAAGCGTAGGCATTAGCAACTTCGCTGTTGACGGTGGAGCTGGTGCCTGTATGGGTGTGAATGGGTGCAAGGTGGATGGTTGCGGGCGGTCTGGCGTGGTACCTGAACGCGAAGGGGGTGGGGGCTGCTCCCACGAGGGCTGTCGGCCAGGAGCTGGTGCGCTCCACGACGCGTCGTTGTAGTAGGACATGTTTGTGCAAGTGTGGATTATGCCGACTCGAGGTGGGTGAGCAGCGGCCTTGGGTGGCAGTGGCAGTGGCAGTGGCGGCAGTGGTGGTGGTAGTAGTAGTAGTAGTAGTAGTAGTAGTAGTAGTAGTAGTAGTAGTAGTAGTAGTAGTAGTAGCAGTAGTAGTGGTGGTGGTGGTGGTGATGGTGGGAGACTAAGTTATTTCTGCGGCCAGGGCAAATGATCAGCACACGACTTTTGCTAGCAAAAATGCAGGCAATGATCAATTGTTGGTAGAGGGCAGGCGGCAGGTGGGCGGGCGGGCGGAGGCGATTGCTGGCTCTGGCGGGCGAGAGGGCGGGAAATTCGAGCCCTCGGGGCGGGCAGCGGAAAATTTTGGTCGAGGGCAGAAATGTCTTGTCTTGGGGGCTGCGAGGGGGGGAGGGGGTGGGGAGATGGCGCGTACCGAGAAGAGGCCAGCGCGCGTACTTGACCTTGACGGCGCAAAAGGAGCGACGGCTGTCCACTAAGCTGGAGAGGAGTGAGGGCACAGTGAAGTCACCGAGGGGAGGACAGCTGAGGGAGCGAGCTTGGGGGTAGGGGTTAGGGAAGGGCTCGGGAGATATCGCGGGCATGTGGGTGAGGATTATGTCGAAAGGGGACTGCTGGGGGGGGGGGACGGTGGACAGGTCGCGCTAAGCAGGCCGAGCAACGACCTATCCACTTAATTATTCATCTCCGCGTCGACGACACGGGCCTCTTGCGCAGCTGCAGGCAATCAGTAGGACTAGCAGTTGTTAGGCGTCTGGAGCATGCCGGGGCGTGGGTGGCATTTTGCGGCCAACGGGGTGGGCGAGGGAGCGAGGGGGGCGGATGGGGAGACGACGGCTGGGCCAGCATCCGGTGGGCGGAGGGCGAGGGCAAGGGCGAGGGCGGTCGAGGCATGGGACAGATGACGTGCGGGATATGCAGCGCAGCGAGAGAGGGCGAGAGAGGGCGGTTAGCGAACCGTTGGTGGGCGGGCGTCGGCTATTCTCACGGGCGCGGGCGGTGGGCGAGGGGCGCGGGGCTGTGTGTAGTCTGCTTGTATGTATATGTATTCTGCTATGTATGCGAGTGTGTATGTGTATATATCTATTGTATGTATGTATGTATATATATATATATATATATATATATATATATATATATATATATATATA